AATGCCATAAATGGAAAAGGAAATAGAATAAATACATTTCACCATGCAAGATAGGTTGATTTCAGTCACATTTCCTATTTGGTATTTCACAGTTTTCTTTAACAAACATTCAGTTACACCAAGAGCAATCAAAAGATTATCTCATCTGAAGCTAAACATAAGTTTTATATAATTTAGAAGCTGACGTTCTCTGACAAATGACACCTACAGAGAGATAAAAGATTTGTGGTACTCTATGCGTTTGCAAATGCAGAAAGCAAGATTATTCACATCCTGAAATAGTGGAGAATTTTAAATCCTATTTTTCCTGGAATATTTTGTTCCTGAAAAGCAAATTCCCATGCCCCCAAAAAACCTTGTTTTCCTGAAGATGCCATTTCACTACAACAGCTAATGCTGTAATTCTTTAGCTACGGTTTTGATTTTAAGGCCAATTTTTTTTACCCTGGAATAAAAATGCAAAGGTTAGAAACATGAATCAGGAAAGATAAATAATGTTTATGCCTGACAGAATTGGTCTGATTGGAAAATGAAGACATCAAGTATGGAAGCACAAATAGGAGAACAAGATCATACTACAGATAGTGAAGAATGCTGAATCTCTCTAACCACTTTAGACCTGCACTTTCATGTTCTGGAATAGAGATTAAATAAAGATTGGCTAACTCAGATAAAACAGGTTATCTTTGGCTCACAATTTCCTCAATTACCAGTTAGAAAATACCATTAGTAATTAATATGAGATTCTTGGGTGGACTGTACTAATAGCCCTCCAGTTGCAACCAATTTTTCAGCGACCGTTTCAAGTTATGGCAAAGGTGAACAAAAAGTACTTATGCCCAATCCCCAAAGTTACAGCTGCTACAGAGCCTCTGAGGTCATGTGATCAATATTTGGGCACTTGGCAGCTCGCTCTCACTTATTACTGCAAGGTTGCTACAACTCCCCCTACCTGCCTATATCCCCATCTCTGCTCTTTTGGGCCCCTGCACTTCACAGCCTCTGCTGATTTCTGTCCTTTGCTATCTTCTTATTCTCCCTGATCAAGCATACCCAGCCTGGCCTTTCACAAGCAACTACTGGCTGCATGAGGTCTTCTTCCCAAAATCACATGGGGTGTTTTCCTCATAATATTACAGAATTACATGTGGTCAGCAGTTGCCTCATGAAGGGCCAGATTAGGCATGCCTCAGCAGCAGTGGGCGCAAGAAGATGGAGAAGGTCTGGTAGGGTGATGGAGTAGTAAAGCATGAAGCTACAGATGCTTTGGAGTATAGGGCAATGAGGGTAACTGGGGCTTTGCATCATGTTGCTGGGCTGGGTTGGCTGAGGTGCTGGGCCCATCTCATGCCATCCAGTCACGTTTCTGATAATGAAGGTAGAAAGATGCAGGGAAGGGGAACGAAGCTGTTGCTTTCAATGGACATTTTCAAGCACTGGAAGATAGTCCTTCTTGGAAAACAGTGAAAAAGGTAAGGTTCTACATTTAGGCAAGAAAAACCAAATGTACAGGTATAGTATAGGCCAGGGGGTACCTTGCTCAATAGTAGTAACTGTGAGAGGGATTTCGGAATCCTAGTGGACAATCACTTAAATATGAGCCAGCAGTGTGCTGCAGCTGCCAAAAAAAGCCAACACAGTGCTAGGCTGCATTAACAGAGGGATAGAATCAAGATCACGTGAAGTGTTAATACCACTTTACAATGCCTTGGTAAGGCCACACTTGGAATACTGCATCCAGTTTTGGTCACCACGATGTAAAAAAGATGTTGAGACTCTAGAAAGAGTACAGAGAAGAGCAACAAAGATGATTAGGGGACTNCTAGACCATCTTGAGCTTCAAGAAGAAATACAGAATGAAAATGCAATAAATAATCTAATTTATTCAAGACTTTTAAGTTTACTAGCACACATTCATTATTGTGCAAGGCAGCTTCCATTTTGGCTCTATGCTAGCAAGCACTCAGTTCTGGTGATCAGAAATAAACTGTAAGTGCTTTTTACTTATTTATTAGTGCTACTTATTAATGTAATCAATAATGGGTGAATACATATTAAAATAATGTATGTTTCAAGGCTCCTCAATGGAGACAGCAATGGATTCCTGGACGCTATGCCTTCAGATATGATTGATTACCACTTGAATTACTGTCAATGAAGGCTGGCCTAAATATTTTCCATAGCTAATGTAAGGACAAATACTTGTAGCAACAACTTCTGTTTTGCTTATAAACAAGTTCAAGATTCTGACAGTCCTTTAATACATGTGGAGGCAGTGCTCTCCTGTAACAAGTTGTTCATTTATTTATTGTTATTTAGAAATCTCACTTCCTCAGTTCCTAATAACTGGGCGTCATCTTCTCCACAGCTATTTAGTGACCTAGTTTTGCTCAGTATTCTCAAATATAGGAATATATGGTATCATATAAAAGCTTCAATTCCATAAATCTATGCTTACGTTACAGCCAAGGACCGAACTGTAAAGGAATTACTATCAATTAAATATACAGGTTTGGGATATAAAATGCTTTAGCTTAGTTTTCCAAATACAAAAAGAAATGCTTACTGAGGCTAGCACTTTCCAAAGTGGTTCCCCCCCCACAAGAGTACTTCTTAAGTACAAATAGAATCTTGGATTTTATATTTGAATTTGAATATATGTTTCATTATATGCATCTTGGGTACCCTTTTCCTAAACTCTTATCTGCTAGTAATTTTAAGAAGGAAGATAAATGAATCTTTCTTTAATCTAGGAAATATGCAGCTTTGAAAATGATACATAATCCTTCCTTTAAAATTACTTAATTTTTAAAAAAAGCATGTTTTTGTCTTTGAAAGAAATTTTTAAAAAAATAATTGCAAATCATATTTGGGAAATTTTGCTAATCACTAGCATACTGAATGTCACTGAATCAAATTTGCATTGCTCCTTATTGGGAATACGTGTTTTGCCAATTCTACATATCAAACATATACTGTATTGCCTCTTTAGTCACCCCACTGGAGTTAACAGAGGAGAGGACATGACATTTAACTCAACCCACTGTGCATATCACTCTTATAGGTAAGCATTAATACATATACATTAATACATATAGACCAGGGTATTTCAAATTATGTTCCATCAAAGCTTAGGTTATATAAAAACTTAATAGATTTTAAGGAAATAAGGAACGGCTGCTGGAATTGGGTATGTCTAGTTTAATGAAGAGAAGGATGAGGGGGGACATGATAGCAGTGTCCCAATATCTCAGGGGTTGCCACAAAGAAGAGGGAGTCAAGCTATTCTCTAAGCACCTGAAGGCAGGACAAGAAGCAACGGGTGGAAACTAATCAAGGAGAGAAGCAACCTAGAACTAAGGAGAAACTTCCTGACAGTTAGAACAATTAACCAGTGGAACAACCTGCCTCCAGAAGCGGTGAATGCTCCAACACTGGAAGTTTTCAAGAAGAGACTGGATAGTTATTTGTCTGAAATGGTATAAGGTTTCCTGCCTGAGCAGGGGGTTGGACTAGATGACCTCCAAGGTCCCTTCCAACTTTACTATTATTATTATTATTTACTTGAGAGTCTAAGGCCAAACATTTCAAACAGCCAATTTTCTATCACTAAAGCTTCACCTCTTAAGCAGGACTTAAAACTCAGGTTCTGGGGTCTCAATAAATTTGAAAACCTTTGCTAGAGTCATCTGTGGTCAGCAAGGAGTTGAGAGTGGTGAAAAGAGACAGGTGGTGGGATCTTTGGTGCTGCTGCATCATTAGGTGACAAAGATAATTACATACCATGGCATCTGCCCCTGGAAATCTGGGAAAAAAATTGGGTGATGAGAAGGAGAGTAGTGCAAGGTGGTGGAAAACTAAGTGAAGATCTGGAAGGCAGCTGCGATGCTATGCAACACAAATCAACTTCATGAGCTGTCAGAAATGGCAGTTGCTATGGCAGTGGTTCTCAACCTTTTTAATGCTGCGACCCCAACCGGTCGTAAGTCGAGGACTAAACCGGTCGTAGGTCGAGGACTAAACCGGTCATAAGTTGAGGACTAAACTGGTCGTACGTCGAGGACTACCCAACCGGTCGTAAGTCAAGGACTTTCCCTGCCCGGGAGCGCCGCGCATGCGTGGTTCCGCCCCCTGTGCCAGCCGAGGCGTAGCTGGCAAGCGGCAGAGATGGAGCAGGCTGACCACCAGCTGGCCCAGCCCAAGGGAGGTAAGGCACCCGCCGGAAAAGGGGGAAAAAATGGCGGACAAAAAAAATGGCAGACAAAAAAAATGGCGGACAGCCTTGCTTGGCGACCCCCGTGAAATGGTCGATCGACCCCAAATGGGGTCCCGACCCACAGGTTGAGAACCACTGTGCTATGGGCTGCCGTTCAGGTTGCTAGAAGTAAGGAGTACTGCTAAGCACAACAGAATGTTATTGGAGCTGGCAGGGCCAGGGACTAGAAGGGTG